ACCTCTTTTTGGACAGACCATGATAGTAAAGAAGAGGTCCTGGGAGCTGCAGCGCCAAGGAGCCTTTGAGTCCACCGGAGAGCAGGTGAAGTACCTCACACCAGTTCCTGAGGTGTCGAAGGGACATGCCGTCCTTACAGACAGAGGGTTCGTGAAGGTTGTGAGTTGCACGATCAAGGACATCAAGGAGCCGGTGAAAGATCAGGACGAGCTGGCACTCGTTGAGGTGACGGCGGATGATGATCCCTTGAGGTTGAGACGAAGACTCAGGGAAAAGGCCAGTGTGGCATGTTTGAAAACTCAGGAAGAAGAGGAGGAGGAGAGACACAGAGTCAGTCTCTTTCGAGTCCTGTACGATGAGGAACGACACATGCTGGGTTCTGAAGCAAGAGAAGTTCCAGCATTGCAGCGAGGTCTAGCTCCATTTCGAGCAGAACAAGAAGCTGAGGCAACGAGACCTGCGGAAGACGAGATCCTCCAGACACGCATCATCCCGAACGAGGAAGTCTTTTTGAACAAGGCTGACTGGATCGAGGCGATAGTGAAGGAAATCAAATCGCTGGAAGAGAAGAAAGCCATCCGGAGGTTGACTCCGCAAGATGTGGCATATTATCGACGGGAACACAGCGACAAGCTAGAAGTCGTCCCAGGGAACGCGATTCACTCCATCAAGGCCCCGGACGCTCGCAAGAAGTGCCGCTTAGTAGTGTGCGGGAATTACCTCAGCGGCGCTGGAGCGGGAGGAGCCAAACAGGAGGCGGCACAACTATACGCCGGTGGTGCAGATACCACGTGTCTCAGAGCGGCATTAGCTGTGGGTGCTGAGAACGACTGGACAGCAGCTGCACTGGACGTGAAAACGGCCTTCTTGAATGCTCCTTTGTGCACGGTGGAGGAAAGCAAGAAGAAGAAGCTTCAGGCCCTGGAAGATCGAGAAGAAGGTGGGCAACAACCAATGGAGCAGGATTTGGAGGAGAAGGTGGATCCAAACCGAAGGGAGCGTTTGGTCCTGATGCAACCCCCACGGATCCTGATTCGGTTGGGCTTGGTTCAAGAAGGAGAGATGTGGATGGTGGAGCGGGCACTCTATGGACTAAGAGAAGCGCCAAAGCTGTGGGGTGATCACCGTGATGCTCAACTGTCGACCATTGAGTTCAAGGTAAATGATGTTCAAATTGCCTTCAGATGAGAACCTTTGGATCCTACGAGAAAAGGACCGGGCAGATGGGTCTTCTGGCCTAGTGCGTGGGTTGGCATTGGTCTACGTAGATGACCTGTTGGTCCTTGGTGATCCTCAAGTGGTTGAAGAGGCAACGAAAAAGGTGTCTCAGACTTGGGAGACGACAGACCCACAGTGGGCTGGAGAAGATCCGTTGCGCTTCCGTGGGATTGACATCCACAGAAACACAGAAGGCCTCTTCATCAACCAGAGTGGATTTCTGAGAGAGTTGTTGAGAAGACACTCCATGGACGCCAGAGCATCAAACCTGGTGATGAGAACTACAGCTGAACCAGAGGATGAACCTGGGAAAACCCCACATGACATTCGGGCAGCACAGCAAGCGGCGGGTGAACTACTATGGCTGTCCACGAAGACAAGACCAGATATCTCCTACGGTGTGAGCCGGATTTGCTCGTCTACATCTAGAGCTCCAGTTTTGGGCCTGGAAGCGTCCTATCAAGTCATGCGCCACCTGAATCACTCTCAAGGAGTTGGCATCTGGTACCGCAAGAAATGTGGATTTGGACTAGAGTCGACCAGTGACGCTTCGTTTGCGCGTGGTGGAGGACATTCGCATGGAGCTGTCATCACTCTGTTGGGTGGTTCACCGATTGCGTGGAAATCTTCCAAACAGCCTTTTCCGGCACTGTCCACTGCAGAGGCAGAGCTGATTGAAGTCATTGAGTCAGTCATCCTTGGGGACAGTGTGAGTTGCTTGGTTGAGGAGATGGCTGGAAACATGACAAAGGTCCTGAAGTGTGACAACACGGCGGCCATCGCTTTGGGAAGTTCAGCCACAGGAGCATGGAGAACGCGCCACCTGAAGGTGAGGGCAGCACATCTTCGATGGAAACTTGAAGCTGGGTCTTGGGACTTGAAGTATGAGCCCGGCAAGGACTTGGTTGCTGACATTGGGACGAAGGTGTTGGCACCAACTCGCACGCAGAACCTCATGCGAAATATGGAAATGGGATGGCAACCAAAAGGGAGAGACAAGCAGGAGGACGAACCAGAAGAAGATCTTCCTGTTGCGCACCGCCTGTGGTTGGAGAACGACTTCAAGAAGATCGCACAGTTGGTGACGGTCATCACGATGTTTCAGAAGATCCATGGAGCATTGGCTGCACAGAAAGACACAAAGAAGGAGTCAGGAAATGACGATGGTTCTGAGGCGCTCTACATGTTCGGGGTGATCATGATGATCCTAGGAATGGTGCTGATGAAGATCCTCCAACGATGTCATATGCATTGGAATCGACAAAGGGAAGACCCGACCATGAGGAGTATGAGGGTGACAGCTGATGGGACTACATCGGGTACAAGGTCTACTACTAGATCGAGTGGCGAAAGAAGTGGAAGGTCAGACACAGTGCAAGGGCGTCAAAACCATGGGAGGCACTGTGGCGGAAGCACTTCGAGGAGCTCGATGTCATCTACCAGGGGGAATGACATTCGTTCTGCAGAGCAGTATGACTCCGGAACTCAAGGAACTCAAGGAGTTCAAGATGATGACCACTTGGATCAGGATGAACCACATGGGGAACCTCCGAATCAGATGGATCAGCCAGTGGAACAGCAGTTGCAAGTTTCCCTGACGGGAAGGCGAAGGAGGTTCACTTTGGAGGCACCATGGGAGGCTTGGTTTGCGGAGTCTAGTCAGTGCTTTCATCGAAGGCGAGAATGTAGAGGACTTCGAAATGCACACAGGGCAAGAGGACACCCAATTTGTGGAAGGTGCCAACATGTCGCACAAGAGCAAGGGCAAAGAAGCTTGGCGGAAGTGAACTACATCTTTGAGGACCAGCTCGGCACCCACCATGTGGACGCGCGCTGTGCTGCTGTGACGGGCACAATGCTCGAGATCCGCCAGTGCAAGCTTTGCCGTACAAACGGCTTGAGCTGATGGTCTTTTGTGTGGCTGGCTTCGCCAAAAAGGCAAGCCAGGGAGGAGCGCAGGTCATGAAAGACACGCACAAATCGACAAGTGTACCTGAAGCCGTTTCAAGTTTGGACAAAAAGAGTCCGAGGGTTCGAGCAGAAACAATCGCGCCTCGTGTTTCGCACAAAGTGGCAAGCTGGCTTGCTGCAGCTTGGCTACTTCTGCTGCTTCCCTGACCAGCGCTTTCCTAATACACGCTGCTCCATGCCACGAATCTGCGCAGTGAAGTTCGCAAAGCTCTGTGCCTGCCACAAAATCTGCACATCGAAGTAAAATGGCTCCTGCCACGAAGAATCGACTTCAGGCCACCAAAGCACGAGCGCCCGCCACAAAAAGTGATCGCCAAGCCCGGTCTGGTTACGAGGGCGTCAAGGAAAGCGCCTCGGACCCAGTCGAAGTGCGAACTCGCGCACTTTGGTGTGCCCTCACATCCTCGATCAAACCCAACTACGTTACCGTAAGAACCCCTTTTCGTGTGTACACTGCGTGGAGAGAACCACGGCCGTCTCTCAGACACTGCTTTGGAGGAACTCTAAACCGCCGCAAGACTTGCGTCCCAACCGCGGCATTTTTGGAGGGTATGAGCCTTTCTGGTTCCGTGATTCATGTTGGAGAGCAGCCTCACACCTTTATTGAAATTTCACCGACGCACTTCGAGGCTATTGTTGCGTAGCCGTTGGCCCGGAATGCAGCCTCACACGCGCAGCTTTGGTTACCTTTTGACGGGCGACGGCAAGTTTCACACAGTCAGTCTTAGATTAGACGGAAAGACTTGAAACCACAATAAGCTACTAGGAGCAAGTGCATCGGTACTAGGAACAAGTGCCTTACTAGTAGTAACAAGAAGCTATTAGAAACAATAGTTAAATTAGAAACAAATTTAACAAAAAGACTTGAAACATTGAAAAACATTTTGCGAAAAATGGTGCAACACTGAACACTCTAGCTCATCCTGACGGGAGGCTTTTGACGTTCTGTTTGACATTTGGGGATGCTTTTGTGGGACACCGCTTTTGTTGTTTGTCACAAAAGCATGTAACATATGACATGCTGTTGTGGCGGACTGGTTTCAATTTTGGCTGGCTTCTTTGGTTGCCAGATTCAGCGTCCACACTCAACAGTCATTTTTTCAGGTTGTGATTAGCGAGAAGCTTCACACCCCTGGTGGGCTTTCAGGACCTGGTGAGACCTGGTGAGCATGTTTTCCTTCGAGAAGAGAACCCGTCCTTTTTCGCGAGGAAAGACCATGAAGTTTCCGCCCTTTGCGCAGACCGAGCTGCGGAGCCAAATCAAAGAGGCACCGGTCCGTGCGGTCCATGTTTTCCGCAACTGCAACCGCCCAAGTCTGTCGCGCCAAAAAAACGACGCGCGAGGCGCGAAGCGGGTTGCGCAATCAACATGGGTTCTTGGAGATGGTGCAGAAGGCCACGGGAAACCAGCACTCTAATCGATGCTGGAGGATTCACAATGTTGCGCATACAGGGCATACAGGTTGTAAAGTGTTCCGATTCCATTTTGAGAGAGAAGAGATTGACCAATGTCCTTTCTTTGCCTGCATGCACGTCCTGCCACAGCACCGCGTCTCTCTCTCGCTCTTCTGCATGGTTGTGTAACATTCTAAAACAAAAAACACAGCGTGTAACGCTTTCGTTTTAAACGAAACGCCGAAAAAATGTCTCCTTCTTCCTTTTTTTTGACAGGCGAGACGTTGACAGCAACGTCACAGGAACAAGTCTCTTCGAGTTTGAATTCAGCAGCTAAAAGCAAAAACCATGTTTTTGTTTTCCTTTCTCTTTTTTTTTTTTTGCCTGTTTACACTTTTGGAGGTTTGCGCTGCGCCTTCTTCCCTTCTGCAATGTGTCTCACATCCTGAAGGAAGGAGGAAACCTGGCTGTCGAAGGTCTCCAAGACCGCCGCTTTTACCACCCTCGCTTTCGTCGCCTCGCCAAAGTAGGTCCGCAAGTCGGTCTCCACCAAGTCGTTGTGACCTTCCGAACAAGGAAACTACGTTCGGGGAAGCGAAATGCGCGCCGCAACGACGTCACAACGCGGCGATCTACGCGCAGCACCTGCCAACCACCTAAGGACGAGCGCTACACTCCGACCCCAACCAGTCACACAGCGCAACTAAAGTCAGGTCCCAGACGACGCAACCGACTTACCCTCACCAAGAAACCTGCGAGCCTTGGAGGTCCCTCAAATGTGAGCGGAAAGCTTAAATCCCACTCAAGCGGTCGCCAACCAGTGGAGCACACCTCCGCGAGACGTCCATGTTTGCGCATACCAACGAGTTGCATCGGGAATTTGGTGTCCTGCCTGCCATGTGGCCAGCCCGCCCTACCGCCATCCAACCGCATTCTTGGGCAGGTTGCACTTTGGCTAGGCTCTTGACATTTGAAGTACGGGCTGCCACTCTTCATTGCGTCACAGGCAGTCAGCCTTGGGGCCTTGAGTTTTGACCCAAATGATGTTGCCTTGGCAAATTTTAAATGTAGTTCCTCTTTTCCGTTCTTCCAGGCGTGACCGCAATACCTTACTTCAGTTTCCTGAAAGTGAAGACCCCAAGGTTTCACCTTCGGCGCCCAGGAAACAAACTCTCGCAGCCCGACATCCACGCAGCGCTCTCGCAGAGCGACTGATCGAAGTGATCTCGTCGCGACTTAAGAGATCCTCTCCTCTGAAGATAAACGGTTAACAAGTGCCTTACTAGTAGTAACAAAAAACTATTAGGAACAAGTGCATCGCTACTAGTAACAAGCGCCTTACTAGTAGTTAAACTCCTCCTTCCAATTTGACTCGACCACCGGCTCCGAAAACAGCGTCACTGACACATACATATATGAGACATCTATACTACACTGTACGCATGTAATTACGCGGAAACAAAACAAAATTGATGACAAAACATACAATTTGACTTGTCCCCTTCTTCGTTGGGTGGTCTCTCTCCCCGCAAAGTTCCCACACGCCAACGACTCTGTTTTCTCATGTTTGTGTTTTTTCCTATTTACCAACAAGAAGCTATTAGAAGCAAGTGCCACGCTAGTAGTAACAAGTGCCTTACTAGTAGTAACAATAGCTTCACGTTGTTCCTCTCTTCTGTCGCGCCCACCTGCTCGAGGTGGAAAATATGGCGGCCACCGGTACTGCTTCGGGCAAGCCTCAAAAGTGGCTCTCAGAACAAACACAGTTGTATATGTGATAGGGACTCTTCCGTATACAACGGCCTCCTTTCCGCATTATCTACTCAAGGCCCTCTTCACCCTTCTTCACCCCTGTGTATACTATCAAACTTAATGGTAAAGAGTACGACGCGTAAGTGCTAAGGAAACAAATCCGCAGAATTAATTTGCAACGGGCAATAAGATTGGAGCGAAAACTCCTGCACTCTATTCCTAAAAACCACTATATCAATCACGCAGTGAGACTTGGACAACATAAAAATCTACAAGTACTACTACAAGTTTTAGTGCGTATCTACCGTGGGCGGTCGGTCACACAACAAACACTCAATAAAATGCAGAAAGGCGAGGCGGAATAACAGAAGCGCAGAGTAGAGTGTTGTAGATCAAGGCAAGAATCAAGCAAACGCGATAGCAGGTTGACAAACTGGCTAATAAAAAAGAGAGCTCGTCACTGTGAGCGTGCGTCTTAAATGGGTTCATGTATATTCACTAAAGTAAATTATTTAGCATAGAAGGAAACATATAAACATGCAATAAAATTAGGGAACGATGTGATAGGAAATATGGTTGAATGAGTATTGAATGAATTGGGATGATATAATCCGCCGGCCCTGGCCTAGCCGATGTCTAGGCGGGGCGGCGCCCGGGACAGCGCAGCGAGAAGCCATGGCCAAGGACCTGTGCTACTATGCGGACTTGCACTGGCCAACGCCGCCTTGTCTGGGAGTGGCCATGCTGCCGTCTGGCGCCCATCACCATGGTGGAAAAGCGTGGCGAAGCAGATTGCCGGGAGCTTTGGGAGTCAAGCAACTACTAGTTTTATGGGCTCCCGAAGGCGACGTGCCAGGCAACGTTAGGCATTTTGGCTGGCTGCGGCTCGCCCGTTTTTGGTGTGGAGTTAGATGGTGGAAAGCTGTGGCTCGGTGGATCTGTTCTTCACTGCTTCACGAGGACGGAGCTGGACCGACCTTTTTTCCTTTGGGGGTTGGCACGACTTGCAACAACCTACGACCTATACGGCTATCAAGGACGAGACCTACGACCTGCAGGGTTCTCGAATGCATGTCTGGGTGGAATTGGGTGGTTCTAGTCTCATCTCATTCTCTCTCATTCCAAAGATTTCTCCGTGAGCCGACGCGCAAGAAGTAGCAGCTTTGAAGGCAACTCGGTGACTCGAAGCATGTAAATAATTTGCAGGCTGCTTGAAATATCCTTCATTCCTGTCCAAGCGCTTTACGGTAGTATACTGTCCAATTTTTAACCCGCCGACCCTGGCCTAGCCGATGCCTAAGCAGGGCGGCGCCTGGGACAGCGCAGCGAGAAGCCCCGGCCAAGGACCTGTGCTACTATGCGGACTTGCATCACCTGGGCTGCTACTACAGCTACTACGAGGAGATGTGTGTGGCCATCAGCTGGGCTGCTACTACAGCTACTACGGCCTAGTCCATCATGTGGGACAGGTCTGTGGCCATCACCTAGGCTGCTACGATGCGGTCCCGCACCTCGGTTCGTCCCTCTTACACCCGCCCTAGCCGCGCTGCTGCTACGGGCTGCTGCTATAGCCCCTACGGCCTTGTCTGGGAGTGGAAGGCAAAGTGCCAGGCGATGTTAGGCTGGCGCGTCCCTTTTTGGTGTGGAAACAGACGGCGTCGTTTGCTACTTGGGTGTGCCTTTTGAGTTGCGGCACTTGCAACTATCTTTTTTGGAAGTTATAGAACTTAAGAAAAAGACAAAATAACTTCAATCTAAGTTCGAAATAATTTCCAATAACTTCAATTTTTGAAACCCAAGAAACCAGATTGACTATTTTCCAATATTTTTTAAAAATCATTGCCGCTCGCTGAGACCAACCTGCTCAGCGCAAAGCGGTGAACACCGCGCTTTCATGCAGCAACCCGGTGTAAACCCAGCGGTGAACACCGCACTTTCACGTCAACATGATGTAAACCAGCGGTAAAACCAGCGGTGAGAACAGAACCCGGTAGGCATCTCCTTGTTTCTGTCACGCGCTATCGGAAAAGGTAGATTTGGCCATCGTCTGCGCACGCGAAAGAGACAGTGACCATGTGTATTAAATTACAATCTCGACAGGAAACAAGACTGCACCTTCCCCATTGCCCCACAAAATTTAAACTGCGCCGTGCTGCGCCTCCTTTTGTTAGTCCGTCCCTGCTCGAATCCCTGAAAAGAGCTCAATGGAAAACTGAAAAAATTAAAACCTGGGAACTTTGAAGACAGGGGGAGGGTGGGCGGGGGTGTGTGGTATACGGGTCGTATACGGACGGTACACGGCGGTATACGGGGGCCATGGTGGTATACGGATGGTATACGGACGGTATACGGTGGTATACGGCTGGGATCCTGGCTTGGTATACGGACGGTATACGGTGGTATACGGGTGGCTTCCTGTAATTTGCTGATTTTTGCGGTGAAAAAGGTGCGAGTTACGCAGGACTGGAGGACCTACATCACCAGCACCTTGGGTGCTTGAAAAAAAACTGAACTTGACATTTCACAGTTTTTTCAAGTTTGATTTGCACGTCCTTTCTAAAGGCATCGGCAGCCTTGCAGAACTACTTTATAATCTCCTTCTTGAAAACGCAGAGCCAGGCCACCCCTAAGTTTGAAGAGTGAGAAATACATTTTGTTTAAAAGTGAGATTTACTTTTACCGTGTGCATCACTGGCTTGGCTGCTATAGGTCATGTCTTTAAGCTTCAGTCGGTGCTCTGAAGAAACAAGCCCGGGCAGGCTGTTTATTCACTAGCGCACACTCCTTTATAGCGATGTTGTGAAATGAAATCTGATGCGGAAATGTGAACATTTCCGTTCATCCTGAAACGGTGAAAACCGCAATGAAAATGGCAAGCCAAACAATTTATGAACTGAGGAGGTTGGTTCAGCGGCGCAACTTTTGCTTACCAACCAAGCAGAAAACCAACAAGCTTTTTGTGAAAAATAACTTCAAAAAAAGTTCAAAATAATTTCCATTAAGTTAGGGGAAATATATTGGAACAAATTCCTAAGTAACTTGTAACTTTCTGCAGAAGTCTTCAGAAGTTACACTACTTCTCGTCTAGTTAGACAGGTTCTGAGCAACATATTGAATTTGCAAGTGAGTTACAACCCACTTTTAAGTCCTCCTACTCCAAAGCACACCCAAGTAGGCTTGATACCCTGCGCTGCGCCACCAGACCGTTTTGGGCCGTCTACAGGGCAGCAGGCCGCCCGGTGGCCATCGCCTTGCCGGGCATAGAAGCACAGCAGAGAATCCCCAGGCTGAATGTCTCAGACATCTTCGCAGATGACTTTCCTTGCCTGAGGCATGTGAAAGGCAGAAGAGTGAGGAGGTGTGCACCAGTAGCAACCCAGCTGGCAGCCACCCTTGCAACCAACCAGAGAGGAAAGCACATGCAAGCTCTCTGTAAAGCCATGGAGGAGGCATACAATTTATGTGACAAAAAAATATGTCTGGAAGAAGGAGACTGCCAGGAACTTCGAAGAAAGATGTGAGGAACTGCTGGCACACTATGCATGGCTTGCAAGAGACAGCATGCTGAAGGGAGAATACAACAGAAGCACCACCTCCTAGTACAATACTCAACACAGAGCAGGTTCCTGGCCCCCAGAGCCTGCTGGGCATATGGAGGTGAAAGTTTTATGTCATTGATGGTGGCTGTGGCTGGTGGTGTGCCAAGCACACCAGCCTGGACGCTGCCATCCAAGAATCTGAGGAAATTTTCTTTTGCTTTCCATTTGATCCTGAAAGGGCTATGGAACGCAGAGCAGCTACAGGAAGAAGAAGAGCACTGAAAGGAACGAAAAGATTTCAGGGGTCTGGCAGTCAGGCTTTAATGGTGGCTGGCAGCCAAGAGTCTAGGGTTGAATGCGGTGGTGGCTGGACAGCCACAAGAGTGTAGGGTTCAGTGTGGCGCAAAAGTCAAGGGCTGAGTGTGGCGGCTGGACAGCCGCAAGAATGTAGGGTTGAGTGTGGCACAAAAGTCAAGGGTTGAGTGTAGTGGCTGGACAGTTGGTTTTTGAAAGCGTGCTTTTACTACAAAATTGGACTTGTCTATTGATTTTTCGATTGGTTGGCCACAGGTCGAAGCAACTAAAAGAACCCCGCACGCACGCAGTCAGAAATCACAGACAGCGAGTCTCCACGACTCAATTTCACGCTGTACCTTGTCAAATGCGTTTTCCCAATCAAGAAAAGTGATAATTAGATTAGAACCTTGTTGTTCCGCGATATCTTGCATTCTTCGAGTGAAGAACGACAAGGCGTGAGAAGTGCTCCTACAAGGCCTAAACCCAAATTGTGTCTTAGTCAGAACATCCTCCAAAACGGTGTGCAGACGTTTTCTGATCAGGATCAAGTAGATTTTGTAAAAAGAATTCAACAAAGAAATTGGTCGATAGTTGGTAGCAATTGCTTGGTAGCATTGGTGACGCTGGGTGGGTTCCAATTCGTTAATGACAATGGGTTGGTGACAATTGGTGGGTGGCAACCCTGGAGCGCACCAAGCGGCGCGCCTGCCGCGCAAATCACCGGCGCAGCTGCGGCGACACAGCGACCCCAGGGCGTACATCCGCCCCCTTGGAGAGCACCAGGTACCGCGCCTGCCACGAACTGGTTGGTGACAATCAGTTGGTGGCAATTGGTTGGTGACAATTGGTGGGCGGCAATTGGTTGATGACAAGTGGTTTGGTGACAATTGGTGGGTGGCAGTTAGAGCGAGGAGGAGGAGGTGGAGGAGGAGGAGGGAGGTGGAGGATACAACACTAAAAACAAAAACCCCACACGTTAATGCGGTGAACAAAACTGCAGGCCCCATGCCAGAGAGTCAGACAGGAGAGTCCCAATGGGGTCTGCAGTTTCGTTTTGTTTTTGACTCCAGGCTCATTTTCCAGAGCAGTGTGCGAAGTCTCGCATACGACTGTGTAAAAGGAATCTGAAGCGGCTCTATGTCGGTTGCA